GAATAAGTAAATTTGACTTGAAACCTAGGTCTGTACTATAACACATTTTCTAAGGCTTTCCAGTTTTCCAGTGGCCTAGAAGGTATAATGGTTTAGGCATTTGTGCATAAACAAACTGCCAGAGCAAAGAAGCCCGTTGTTGAAAGTAGTGAGCACCAAATCAATAGGACAGATGGTGTGCATTTTAAATGACCTGATGTACCAGCACTCAGGTTTCAAAAACAACAGGTTACTTATCAGAAATGAGGATGCATGAAATCTTACAAAAGGTTAAATAAGGCCTAAACAAAAGTTATATAAAGAGAGGGGAAACAGGGACACAAGCATGTCTCATTACAACAATAATCAAAATTGCTGAAGTCCTGAAAACATGCTAAAACACTGTTGTGCATTATCCAAATAATAAAACAGCTGGATGATTTAAAACCCTCTGAGCTAACCAAAAATCCAGTTTCCTATCATAACATAGAACTTGAAATGATTCCTACAGAGAGTGTGTGTTGTGGCAAAAGCCAACAACATTACCAGAAACCAAACAAACCAAGAGTAACAGTACTATTAGGACAGCTGAAGGGGTAATAAAACAACAGAACTGATGATTACAAACACAGCCACGGCGAGAGCAGAAACTGCACCTCAAACAGACGTACAGAGCTGTGCTCCCGCTGACAGGATGCGAGTAGAAAAAGTGAAACGTGAGCGGGAAGTGTGCAGGGTCACACATATTCTCACACACGTACAGATAAAAGTCAAGCAGACAGGGTGCTACAGGGGTAAAACAGGAACTTGGAATGGACAGTTTGAGTCGCATGTTGTTTTACTGAGGCACAGTAAAAGGTCAACGACACAAATAACTCATTTCCTAAGAGTAATAAAAACAGGAGGGGACCGAAGAGGGCAGCAAAGAAATTTAAATATTTGAGAACTCTGGCTGGAGAATACCGTTTCTGGTGAACACTGAAAGCTGGTGGCTTAAGTGTTCAAACACTAAGCTTTTAAGAAATAAGCTGTTCTACCAGCTGAGATGTATTAATCCTACTTTGTCCAACTGTGAGAATAAAAAGGCCTCTTGTGTAAGTGGGTACACCACTGCAGTTAAAACAATAACAGACCTTTTCCCGCAGCACACAGTTTGGACTTGTCTTAGAAGGAAAACACAGGTGTTACTACTAACTCAAAAACTGTGGTCTATTCATCATGACAGTGTGACAGTGAGCCACACAACACCAGGCCCCTGAAACTAAGGCAGTTCAATGGATTTCAGACATAATGCATTTTATCATCTACACGCGCTTGCCCCACTGTGACAGGTCAAAATGTCTTCTATGAAAAAGCCCTCTGGCTGATAGACCACACACACTCTGCTCAGCAACACAGATCTCTACTGAAGGTGCACCAAAATTCATTTCAGTGAGGAATGAAGAGAGACACTTGTGCAGTTGAAACAATGAAGGGCATTTTTTTGTTTTGTTTGTTTTTTTCCCCAAAGACAAAAAAATGAATCCAGAAACACACAGAGGCTGGGGCTGACTAGTTATTAAATACTGATCATGTATATACATGCATATTAAAAGAATTTATATTAGCGGTTTCCTCCACCTGCACTTCCTGCATCAAGCCCAAACACTCTGATGTGTCTAGTTTGATACAGTGTATACCTTTGGAACAGGATAATCCATTTAGAATTATTAGCTACTGCCTTCCAGGATTGCTGGGTATATATTAGAAACAAACAATAAAAAGATAAAACATGTATGCCTTACCAACTTTAACCTGAAAAACTGACAAGAACCTGTTCAGGTGTGAAAAGTAAAATGGGAATACAGAATTTTAATTAGATGTTCTCCCTTGTGTCTTCACACTTGTGTCTACATTTCTTTCTCTTTCATTTTTTCCACTGTCACACACACACACACACACACACACACACACACACACACACACAAAATCTGTTAGCTGAGCATTTGAGGCTCTGAAGCCAGTGAGAAGAGTCTGTTGTGCTCTGTTCTAGCCCAGATGGCGACACTGACCAAGTCAACGATGGCTTGTGGTCCTCAGTAAAGTGGATGATTAGTCATTGATAACAGAAGCCAGGAGCTGTGAAACTGAGGGATGTCTTAACCAGTTTGTTCTGTCTGAATGAAATGACGACCTTGTATGTGTTTAGCTTCTGTTGAAAAGCAAATCAAGGAAATCTTGCCTTCAAATGGTAAATACTACATGGACTTATACTTGTATTGTGCTTTTCTATTCATTGAGGCACACTTAATGTGCTTTCACACTATTAGCCCATTCACCCATGCTCACATGCATTCACACACTCACACACCAGTGGACAGCTGGGAGCAACTTGGTGTTCAATGTCTTCCTTTTGGACACTTCAACATATGGACTGGAGAAGTCTGGAATTATACCACCAACCCCTAATACAATAAATATATTTTAGCCATGTTCTGGAAACAATGATTTTGTCCACATCACACCTGTAAACATTTGCTATACCTGGTGGAGCATAAAATACCTATTATTTGTAAATATCAGTATACCATAACCAGTGGTACAGTTGTTACTTTCAGTTTGTTTCGTCTTCATGCAACAAAATTTGAAATGCATAAACAAATGTGTGACTGAATGCACCAGAGACAGTCCAGCAGTGATGCAGGCTAAGTGCACTTGGTATCAACAGTGAAATAATTATATAGGCTTCACACTGCCTGTTCATCTAAAACTTTAGATGCTGATGTATGGTGCTGAACAGAAACCCTTTGGGATTCTCATTTAGTGTCAAGCTTGTGATTCCTAGTTGAACTCAGAGAAAAGTTGCTGCAGCAATGGCTTTCATTTGGAGTTTGAGAACAGCTGATGAGCAAGGATCACATTACAATAGCTGGAAGCCTCTTTCTAATATGACTGCAATGGCTATAGTCATCATTTTCCACATTGGAAGGTGGCATGAATGCCAGCTCTATTCCTTTTCAACCCACAGGTGTTGCACATGTTGTGTAACTGTAGTTTAGTTTTGACATCAGTACATATTTTGGTCCTGTCTTGGTTATTGTGGGGGTTGCAGAAGTAAAACATTTAACACGGCTGCCTTATAATTATAATCCTAATGTTTCTGCATACTCACCATGGTTATTTTGCACTCCTTATTCCTCTTATCATGTGCTCTTAAACCACTATGGTAGTTCTCTTATTTTAGCAGCGCTCAATAAGTTCAAAAGAAACACTGCAACACAGACTTTCCCACATACTTGCCTCAGGCAACCTGTAATGCAACGGCAAGTTAAAAACCGCAATGTAAGAGAATGCCAGTGTTCAAGAGGGTGTGAGATGCCATATCCTGTTTTTCTGTTACAGATGCAAACAGTGAAAGATGGTACATGGATGATGGTGGAGCAGAGCTTCAAAAACCCGGAATGCATTAAGTAGTCCCCACCATGCAAAAGTGAATAGTGAGGCACACCGCTACAGTAGGCTAGGCTATGGAAAGAACATGCAAAGCATTTCAACCCCTTTCCATGGGAGAACAAGTTATTCCACAGCCATTGTCCAGTATGTTTAAGTCCATCCATCCATCCACCCATCATCAATACCGCATACTCAAGAATGGGGTCACAGGGGGTGGGAGCCAATCCCAGGCGACACTGGGTGAGAGGCGGGGTCCACCCTGGACAGGTCGCCAGTCTATCACAGGGCTGAAGTATGTTTAAGTCACAGAATTAAACCAGCATTCCAGAAATGCAATGCAATTACAGCCTGGCATACCAACCGAAACAAAACACATATGCACATGCACAAACACAGTTGTTGAGAAGTGCAGCTGTTGCTGCATGTCCTGTCCAACAAAAGAGCACCATTTCAGTGCTCTGAGAGTCACGATAAAGCACATTCCTCTCACAACTTACACAAACTGGTATCTCCAGCTGGTAGCATCAGATATATTCATTTGGAGTTCTAACACTTACTTTACACTTGCTAGTTAACCTTTTTTGCACAATTTAGTGTTGCTGTGTTTGACACTGCACGTTAGTCTGAATTCCTCAAAAGTCCTTTAGTCATGACTCGTTTCATAAGCAATGAATGTCTACAACACCATGTTAGTAAAGCCCCCACCACCACACAGTGGATTGTGCTGGGCACCACCAGCTACACCCACTGCAGTGATTTAATATCAGACTGAGTAAACCCTGTTGTTGGAGGTAATATAGTATGTACTCCAAGAACATCCCACGGGGGAAAATACAGGGAGCTCATGTCAAGAGAAGAGAAAGAAACAGCTGCTGTTTAGTGGTATTTGCGACAGTAATACGAGAGAGAAAGGATAACAGAGCTCTTCTAACATGCTGAGAAATTCACACGCTAAAGCGGAATTAGAAAGAAAATAACGTACTATGTTCCAACCACCTGCATGTCTATGAACAGTACATTGGGTCAGACGTGATGGACTTTACACAGCTTTAAAAGCACACTAACCTTGGAAGAAAAAAGTTGGTGAACTGTTATACATTCAACCAAAACATTTCATTTCATTCATGTACTTACTCAAGTGATCAAGGATCAAATTAAAGCAGTAAGTGTACAACGCCAAAACTCAAGTGAAATGTTGCTGGAATTCGGCTACCTTCAAGCTACAGCTGGCTAACCAGTCCGCCTGTTAGTGTTAGCCAGCACTGCTGTCAAAACCCCTGGAAAGAGTAGTACATCAAGAGAATAGACCGAGAGCCCACACAGAGCACAGGCGGTGACAAAAAGCTCTTTCACACTTGCACAACAACATAACGCCTCCGGATACAGTAACTTTCAGTGTTCAGAAGGGGCTAATGTTAGCTAGCAAGTTAGCGCTTCGCCGCTTCCTCCCCGGCATCTTTCCACACGTGAACTCGATTGACAATCTCTGATTTTACTTGGTTACACTATTTGGTACAACACCGGGTTAAGTAACTCCAACTTAACGCCCCAAAACCACGAATAACAGTTACATGAACCCACAAACTCACCGGTATGTCAGCCGTGATAGTTCTTTTCAGGGGGTAAGAACCGAGGTCTTATCTGGGGGGTCTACGTTCACCAACCTTTGCAGCGCTGTATCCCCGGTACAACCGACAACACTCTCAAAACACACCCCTCCCTCTGCTACCCATAAAAACGAAGTAAAATGACACGAGTATCAAACCCCACCCACTCACATTTTTAATTGGTCAATATTAAGGACAAGTGCGAAACAAACCAATTAAATCTACTACTGTTATTCTGCTTGTCCAATAGTAATGCGATAAATAATTTCTTCTCGGCAATACTTTGCGCAGATCATCTGTCTCGAAGTTCAAAATGAAAATGAGATTTATGATGAAAAGACTATGAGTAAAAGAAGCTTTATCCATTCTGTGGTTCCACTGTTTTGATTATACTGTATTCATTCTCTCTTGTTAGAAAATGAATCAGCATTTATTTTGATAAGTGTTCAACTGAGAGTTTCTTGCTTTTCTTTGTCATGCATGATAGTAAACAAAATATCTTTAGGGTTTTGGACTGTTGGTCGGACAAACCAAGCAACTTGATGTCACCCTCATGAAATTATAATGGTCATATTTTACATATCGCCTTTTGTAGAAAAATTAGCCATCAGTCCTTCAAGTAAATAAACTCAATTAGTAATGAAAGTAAATCATTGCAGCCCAAAATAAGCTATTTTGAATTACAATTGGAAGAATTTATCATAACTTATTCACGACTTATGCATGATGTCAACTGTCAGGGTTGGGGTGTAACGATGCCAAATGGTGTTTGTGGTGAACTCAATTGTAAAGCCAGACGAACCGAGGTAGAGACAGGATCTTTACTTGTTGCAACCAAACAACCAATACACAGTCCAGGATCACAATCAGGTTGAAAAGACAGTCCAGGGTCAGGGCCAGTAAACAGGAGATCCAAACTAGAGAGGTCAAGGGGAATAAATCAGAAGGTCGGTACACTACAGGCAATCCAAAGCTGGGAGGGCATAGGCAAAACACGGTGGTCAAAAACAGTTATCCAAGGTCAGAAACAGAGAGTCAGGTAAGGTAATATTGCTGGAGAGTCAGAGCTGGAGTCTAGAACAATCTGGCAGTGTCCTAGTGGGAGGACGCTGCCTAAATAGAGGTGAACACAGGTGCAAGCAATAAGGAGCAGGTGAAACTAATCTGAGTAAGGAAGAAAGTAAAAACTATGGTGAAACAAAACAGGAAGTAGAATCAAAATAAAAGCCTGACAAGAAGCAGTGGAACCGAAACATGACAGTCAACAACATAAATAGGGTCCTGCATACAAATAACAATGCTCAGGCACATGTAGTTCACGAATGCTATTCCTGTGTGTGTTGCCATACACAGGAAGCAAGATGCAAACTGGAGTCTTGAGTATGTGACTGTGGAAAAAGTTGTGTGCTCATTGTTGTCAGCAGTGTGGTCGGAGGTATGAACAGGGTAAACACACTTCCCCAGAAGTATAAGGGCCAGTTAGGTTAGATGATGGGGAGTCAGAGTATACACATGTTTCCACTACCACAACCACTGGTGGTCATGGACTTAAACGTCTTTTACAGTAACTACACCCACGCACATCAAGCAAAATTCAGCATGTCTTTGAGAATTTGTAAGTCAAGGTCAGGTTTACTTTAAGATAGTAGTTGAAAAGTGCAGAAATTAACATGCTTAAACAGATATTTTTGCTATCTATCCAGCAGATCAACCAACTAGTCTTAAACTCATAAGAAACCTAAATGCATATACCTTACTGAAAGCGTTGGCCCCTCTACCTCCCTGTCAGCACCTTTGAAAAAGGAGGATACATATTGATTGAGGAGGTAGATTAACAAGCAGCCTCCCTGCTGAAGTGTCCCTGAGCAGCACATTAAATTCATTGTTGCTGTAATGCTCTGACATGCCTGCTATGAGCTTGAAAGGAGGAAAAGTGTAACTTTCCCTTTAATGATATTAGTTTGTCACAGAATATATTGTATATATAAATAGATGTACACATTGTCCAAAGCTGACATCTGGTGGGGATTGCATGCAGTGACATCATGATTGTTGCAGCGGAATAATCATAAAACTGAACAGGTTATTGACAAGAAAGTTCACTGTCACGGCCTAAAAAAACTCCTCTCTGTTCAGACTGTACAAAGATTGCACCAAATGTTCTATTTTACAGTTAACATTGCACAAAGCTTACACAACAAATGGAACATTTGGTGCAATCTTTGTACAGTCTGAACAGAGAGGAGTTTTTCCTCTGAAAATGCTGGAAAAGGACCATCTAGTGGCTTAATGGCAAGGAACATGCCACATACAGTAACTGCAGTATCATTGGTTTGGCCACGAAACTCTTGTTGCAATATTACTAGCACAATACTATATGTGACTACACTGATAGTGAATCATAAAATCAGGGAGAAATAATGTTATCCTGATGTCCAGCTGTCTAGAGCAGCATTACAGCACACAGTGTTTTAACAGTAATTCATAGTAAAATGCTCTATAGCCACACTAAAACTACAAATGAGTGGTGCTGGCCTACATTTAAAGCAGCATATGGGACACCCTGGACCCCCTGCAGTAGGTCTACCGGCCCAACAGGGCCACCTCAGACACTATTGCTGCTGCCCTTCATTATTCTCTCTCCCACCTGAAAAATAAAGACTCCTACATCAGGATACTCTTTACTGATTACAGCTTCGCTTTCAACACGGTCATTCCCCACAAACTCACCCACAAACTGTCCTTACCCTGGTCTGCACCCCACCTTCTGTGACTGGTTCTTAGATTTTCTGTCTAAATCCAGTCTGTCAGGATTGGCAATAGGACTTCAGCCAGCATTATTACAAACATCGGCACTCCACAGGGATGTGTCCTCAGCCCCATTTTCTACACCCTGTTCACCCATGACTGTGTCACCTCCCACAAGGATAACATCATCCTAAAGTTCTTGGACGACACCCCAGTGATAGAACGCATCACTGGTAGGGACAATGCGGCCTACAGGAGGGAGGTGGCCGGTCTGGTGTCATGGTGCAAGGACAGCAACCTCATCCTCAACACCGACAAGACAAAAGAGATGATATTGAACATGAGGAAGGAGAGGAAACCTCATCAGCCATTGTTCATCCGGAAGCTTGAAGTGGAGAGGATGAGCAGCTTTAAATACATGGGCGTTCATATCAGTCACTTGGACACTTAATACCACACTGCTGGTCAAGAGGGCCCAACAACAGCTGTACTTTTTGAGGAGGCTGCGGAGGTTTGGCATGTCACCTAGGATGCTTAGCAACTTCTACAGCTGCATTTTCGAGAACATCTTGACCAGCTGTATTACCGTGTGGTACAGCAGCACTACTGTTATGGACTGCAAACGCCAGCAGAGGCTGGTGAAGACCACTGAGAAGATCACAAGGACTCCACTGCCCTCTCTATAGAGCATCTACCACTGCAGAGTCCACAGGAGATCTGCCTCCATCCTCATCAACCCCACCTACTCCCAGTACGAATTGTTCACACCTCTAACCTCAGGCCGGAGATATAAATGCATGATTTCTAGACTAAAGAACTCTGTTTCCCACTGCCATTGGACTCCTAAACAGTTGACAGTAGTTTATAATCATGGACTATCTCATGTAACTGCACTTGACTGTTTACATTTTCAGTTTGTACATGTATAATTGCACACTCATTGCTGACTGTTGCACATACAGCTGGTGTATCTTATATTTCTAGTATATTTTTTATGTTGTTTTTAAATTGCCTTTATTTTTTATTACTATTTATCTATTTTATACTTAGACTTTATATTGTTTGGCATTTGTTATGGACAGCAGAGGAAAAATTTCATTGTACAGGGAAACATTGCTGTGCATATGACACTAAGCACATTGAATCGTTGAAACATCATGTGTATAGCAGGTACGAAAATAGCTACAAAAATAGCATAATGTTAATCCTCTGGTGACAATGAAATTAGCCCTTGTGCTCTGTTCATGTTTAGTTTATGCTGCCTGTGTTCACGGGTGTTATTTACCGGCATCATCTTTTGGCTTTGTAACTCAACGTAATCAAAGAATTTTAATCTAAAACAATGTAATAATCAACTCTAATAATCAACAGACGTTTTGCATTTGCCCTTTACCTTTGTTAGATTACATTACATAAGGGTTAAAACTATGTTACTGTAATTTTTGGATAGACGATTGGAAAAAAAAAACAACAAATTCACAAATGAAGCAAGATTTTTCACAACTTACTGATTTTTATTTGAATCTCACTCATTTCAAACATTCAGGACAGTTTGCACAAGCACAAGCTGAACACTCAGTAACCATTTTGGTCTACACAACACAGCCCCCATTGAATACAGACAAACCTATACATCACATGAGGGGCAGATCCTTCTTGAGTGTGTGTTGCATATGTACTTCTTGCAATTGATGCAGGTACATTGGCAGCAACGTGGGGTGGCTCTTTTGATGGGCAAGAAGACCATTCAATTCTCTCTCTCAAAGCATTCTGGTGTCTCACATTCTGTATATTGCAAAAGCATCAAACTCTTACCTCAGAAGGTATAGTTGGGTGATAATCCAAGTCAGCTTCTTCTTCAAAGTCACTTTCAGATTCAGAATTTTCTGAAATGTTGTCCTCATCTTCTGAAACTTCTTCCTGTGCTTCATCATCAGAACCTTGTCTCTCTTCCAAAATCAATTCCAAGGCAGTCTGAGCAGAGAATCTGCTTGCCATCTTGATCTATGGAGCTATAGGTTGTGAAATGAAGGAAAATGCTGGCTGTGCTGTAGTTATTCTATCAGTCCAGCCCCAGGGGGGTGTTGGCTTTCAAGGAGCGCATAAAGATGGAAATGCTGGAGTAGGATCTGCACTCATGAGGGTCATAAACTCAAACACTTTTATGCAAAACTAATCAACAGATGCAAACTGTTGAACTATTCAGGATGGACTGACTGTCTTCACAATAAAAACATGCCTGGCTGGGAGCACAAAGATGTGAAAGTTTTACCTGCAGACATTGCTTCACAACTTGCTGCCCCCGATTGTCCCTATTTGCAAGCATGAGGGTCGTAAACTCAAATACTTTTATGAAAAACTGATCAACAGATGCAAATTGTTGAACTAT